TTTATTTTTATTATTTTCAATTTAATAATTCATATTTTCCATTATTTAAATTTTTTATTGTACTTTTTTGTTGACTATTTTAAGAAATAGAAACGGTTTAAGTATATAAATATATAACAAGTATAAAATATATAAACATATATAAAATATAACAAATATACAACAACTGTAATTTATTTTTATATACGTTGATTGATAAATATTTCATATATGTTTATTAATGATTCAAATTTCTCTTATTAAACATAGAAACAAAGTACAATTAATCAAATGAAAGACTCACGTAACAGCGATAGTGAAAATTGCTGGTATACAAAGATTTTAATAATGTAGTACTGAAGGATTGACTAGAACAACACATCCCGAAAAGAAACTAAGATTAAACTAGTCGTGCCTCGCCTTATGCTGTAACTGTTTATCTTCGTCACTATAAATTCATTATAATTTCAATAAACTTTATCGCGTAAACAAGAAAATTCATAAATTATAAATATTTTCATAGTGTAACATATTCGAAAATTGCGCTATCATTATTGTTATTATTATTACCGTTATTATTATTATTATTACTTATTATTACAACATTAATTTATATTTACATTATACAGTTATGAATGAAATATATCCTTTATTAACTCATTTCGTGTTGTAAATAATAAAATCATAGTGAAACAAAATTTTCTTTATTATTTCATATTTACTGGAATAGAAAGAATAAATTTACTGAATTTGTTGTACTGATAGATTAATTATAAATTGAGAAATTATATTTCAATTTTCATTGTTACTTGGAATATTATATATATAATAAAATGTTTATGTTTTATCAAAACATATTAATTTACTTTAATAATTTTGAATAATTGCATTACCATGGCAATTAAAATATGAAAGTAAGCAATATTTACTATGAATCTTGTAATACGTATATTTAGTTTTATTTTAAAAAAATGTTCTATTTAAATTGAGTGCTTTGTATTCAATTATATAATAATTCTAAGGTACGTTTTTAATTATCAGAATTATGGCTGTAACTCTAATATAAAACACGTATATCTAATATAACACACGTCGATGAACTTACTTGATAGTGACAATTTACTATAAATTTTAATGTAATAGTTGTATTAAAATTGCATAATAATGTACGTATAAAATTATAGTATAATTGATGTAAGATTTTTTGAGAATTCTGATGAGTATTATCTAAAAAAACTTCTGTAACACAATGGGCGCTTCTACATAAGAATATATAAGCGATTAAGTTTATAACTTAACCAATAGCCTATGTTTTCGCATAAACAATCTTATGGCATACAATACTATGAATTGGGTGAACAATCATTTGTATGGGGCAATTAAGCAGTAGAAATAGAAATTATAAGTTTGATAAGTTAATATCATAATAAAGTATTAATAAATATTAATAAAGTTTAACTCGTTACATAAATTTTTCAATTTCTATTTAAAAAAAGTTAAGTCCTTATAAATATATTTCTTACAATATTTCAATAATTTTCCAATGTTGCTATATCCAATAAAATCACGAGAGAGATAACATATTTTTTATTACACAAAATTACATTTGTGTTGTACTTGTACAAAATTATGAATCATTATTATATCTCCTCGATTTTATTAAATATTGTTAATCAATAAAATATAAAATACAATATTTTGTAGACTTTCAACATTCTTAGTAGATTAATCGATAAGCCAATTTATTTAATGCTTCCTTTCATTTTAATATCAATTCATTAAAAAAATTAAATCGTTAAAGGATATATATATATATATATATATATATATATACGAAATAATTATATTTTGCAGATTAAATTTTTTGTGATCAAAATATATTTAAATCAATAAATATTTTATTTTCTTTCTTTATAGCTTCTGCTCATTTTTTTTAAATTAGTATTTTATTAATATTTTATTTATATCTGAGTTTACATAAGTATTTATTATATATTTTACTCAATATATAAAATTAAGTCCATTAAGTATAGTTTATTCCGAAAAAATCAATATATGGTTTATATAATTAACATAATTCTTATCATTTAATATTCATCCATATAAATAGTACTAATATATAAGTGTTTTGATGATGAGGGTATCCTTTGAACTGAAATCCTTCTTATTTTAAACTGTTAGTAAAATAATTACTGACCATATTAGAATTATCATATTTAAATTCATATTTGCGACATATAAATTTGATAATTATGAATGACAGTAAAATATATAAAAAATTTCATAAATGTATTTAGAAAGTTTGTCTCCAATACTAGCGCTTGTACTTACAAATTCGGAAGAAATGTTTTTAGAAGATGATTAATGTCACTCAATAATGAATAATATTTCGTTTCTCAAGAAATATTTTGTTATATTCATACATGCATATATAAGGATGAACAGACGCAATTTATATTATTTCTAAATATATATTAAAGTTTTATGTCCATGTGATCATTAAAAAAACATAAAATTTATCATTTCTTATTGCATTTCAGTTAAGAATTTTAATTCATTCCTTTGATTCGCAACATGGTAATATTTATGAGAATGTAATTTTTAAATAATGTTTTTATTAGTACTATGAAACAAAGACAACAAAATTAATATATTTTGTTAGAAATTAGGTTCATCATAATTATTAAAAGAATACACGATTTATATTATTTCAATGAGAAAATAGAAAACTGAAAATTTTTATGTTCTGTACAGTTAACATCATTTGTCGACATGATTTATAGTAAGAATATTAATGAATTTTTTGTTGTGTAAGAACGTAAAATACAATCGACAGTTTCCATCATGAATAAAATAATAACATTTTCACTTATCAATTTTTTAATTCTTAGTTAGAATTTACCTTATAAATTTATCTTACATTTTCTAATAGTTCGATAAAATAACTTTTTTAATATTTATATTTATTAATAATATATGTATTTAATGTATAAAAATAAAATTTGAATAAAATTATATATATATATATATATATATATATATATATATTACAATATTACTTATAAACTTAATATATATTCATTTAAAGAGTTATATTGTTATATAAATATAGAATTTATTGTAACATCTTTCACTTTAAACTAAATAAACGGAAAAGTAATTGTAAAGGAAGTTAATTAAAGATATTTAAATAAAATTAAATAATTATTAAATAATTATATATGTAGGTAAATTTATATAAACAGAAAAATGTATATATCATGAAAAACATGCATAATTATAAGCTTCGTAATATTTAATTTTATAATTTGAACAAAATATTCAAAAGCAAATACCTTAAGATTTGAGAAACTAATTATATATTCACTCTTTTTTCATTCTCTCTCCCTTTCTCTCTTATTTATTTTTTATTCTTTTAAATTAATTTTTTTTTAATTAATGTTAATTATTTTACATTTATGATATTGAATTTTGCATAAAATCTGTTACTATGGATGATGTTTAATTCATGCGTTTTGATGCTCCTTCAAATTTATTTCCTATTCAATACAAAATATAAAAAGATTTTACTTTTCTCAAACAGTGTTATTTCGCAAATAAATGATTAAATAATAACATAAAATTTAATATATTTAGAAGGATTATTAGTTTTTAAAGAAATCTTTAAGTTTTAAAAAATATGGTAAAGAATATATATATAAGTATTTTTGAACAATTTACAAGAATAAATGTTAATTTTAAAAACATATTTTGATATATTACTTTTAAATGATAACACATTTATTTAATTATTATGTTATATAACATACAGATTTATTATATTTTAGTTTATTATTAAAAATGACTGTTATTATTTTATATACATTTAAATGTAATGTAAAAGGTTTTTAAACGTTTTAAATTTATGCAAATCTAATAGCCAATAGAATGATTAAAACATTAAGTTTTAAGAAATATTCAGTTTGAATTTAAAATATTCAAGCTTTCGATACAAATTCAAAGTACAAGATGCAGAAATGTTTGTTAAAAAAAAAAAATTTAATACAAAATATGCATAATTAATCGTTGCTTTTCAATACAATGAATCATAATTGCGACATATTTTATAAATTTAATTAAATTTTCAAAAATCAGCTATGCTTGATACATTACTGGCAGGAGCGTAATATATTAAGCTTTAATGTACTATTGGCAGCTGCATTCGATTAAACTGTTTATATACACAAATTTATATATATAAATTTATGACATACAGAATAGGGGCATACAAATTTTATATTAAAATAAGTAAAGCACTGTTAATACGAAACTGCACTCTAGATTGCGCTGGTAACCTTCTAATATCAGCCAGTTTAGTTTTAGTTATCTCCCTTAAGAGAGCAGTAGTTACATGGTCTATCATTTTATTGCATATGAATATTATCTTCTTGTTTCTCACACGAACACATACATAACATTTCGTCCACGCATGTAGTTTCTCTATCTTCCTTCTTGTCTCTCTTTTCGAAGATTGGTCAAGTGCACATTCATTCTCTCTCTCTCTCTCTCTCTCTCTCTCTCTGTCTCTATCTCTCTCCCCGTCTATCTGTTTCTCTTTCTCTCTTTCTCTCCTTCTCTTCCTTCTCTCCTTCACTATTTCACTTCTTCTCTCCTTCTCTTCTTCTCTCCCACCCTCTCGCTTGATCTCCGCGAACCCCTCTCACTTGACTCGAATACTGTTTAGTTCTCTTTCTCTTCCTCTTTTTCGTGCCTCGTTTAGGACGGAGTTTTGTCTTGTACTCCTGTGTACGTTGTGTCTCTCGCTGTTGTCGTCCGTGAGAAGCACCAATTTCTCTCAATATGCTTGGCGATTCTTAAGGAACCTCTACTACCCCTTTGACTACAAATATTCGCACGTGATAAGGAAAGTAGACGAGAACGAAGCTCTTGATTAGTAGCTCGCCTCGTCCGGTAAGGAAAAAGACACGTAGGTAACGGATACCGCGCAGAAGGAAGTCATCATCGTGTTGCCCCCCCCCACCCCACCCCTCACGCAAGTAGCAAGACCACGTTCGCAGCAGCAGCAACATGAGCACGCCGAAGCAAGAGCAACAGCAACAGCAGCAGCAGCAGCAGCAGCAGCCACAGCAGCTGCAGCAAGCTGCACAACCTCCACCCGCGAAGCCATGCTACGGCATTGTCAAGCAGGTAAAACGAGGATTAGCTCTTGATGCGATACATATTTCCTCATTTTATGTCGTATAGATATCTACTATGACGATAAAATGGAGCGAGTCTACTCGAGAAGCAGCTGGAACTATGCTTCAATCGCAAACATATGGATCCTGCACTTTTAAGCTTAGACATTCTTTTCAGTGGATGAAAATGTATTTTCTGTTATTCCGATGGACTATATAATGAGATTTTACATGTTTTATATATTTCACAAATTTTTATTTATTTAACTATAAATATTTTAAACTTATATTAGGCATTCTATAAAATTAGCTAATAATTTTTGAAGAAGTAATAAATAATTTTTTTTAAGCCATGCTCTAATGTTTTGATTTGAAGGAAATTTGATAGGGACATATGCTGTGTAATAAAGTAATAATATTAGACTTAATTTCTTTGAAATCATTTAATTAAGATTATTTGATTCGTATACACATATATATTACGATATATTTTTATTTACAAAAAAATTTTTTTTTCTATCTTTTAATATTTTAAAACAATTACATTCCTACGCTTTTTATTAGATTTTTGTATATGATGCAATTATTAGTATTCTATTTTATTTATTTTGTGTTAAAGTTGATCAAATTTGAATTTCATTTCTTTCTTTTTCATTTACTATAGATAAATTCGGGTGATTCTATAACAATTAGAGGGCAGCCAAAGGGAGGTCCTCCACCAGAAAAAACCTTAATTTTATCCAATGTCATGGCTCCAAAATTGGGTCGTCGTACAGTTAATACAAAGTAATAATACCAAGTGTAATTTAACTTTTTAAATTAACATATCTATAACTAAAAAATTATTTTATTGTACTTACATAGTGTTGAAACTAAGGATGAGCCATATGCATGGGAAGCAAGAGAATTTTTAAGAAAAAAATTGATTGGACAAGAAATTTCTTTTATCGAAGAAAAATCCCCAAATAATAATAGAACATATGGACGCGTATGGCTTGGAAAAGGTAATCATTGGATTTTAATATTGAAATTTTACTTAACGATATAGCCATTGTTAATAAACAAAATATAGATATAATATTTTATCTACATCATCATTTAAGTATTATAATATATATAATAATTTATGAACAGTATTTTATATATATATGAACTACTTATTAATATACAAAATATAAATTTTATATCTAGATTATTATTCTGTTTCAATTTAAATTAAAATGGCAAATGTGAAAAAACATATAAATTCAATCTTTGTGTTATCTGCATTCAATATGACATTCGTAACTGAAACATACTAACTCTTTATCTAAAACAATCATTAGATTTTTAATTACTAACTTTGTAATCTTTAATCTATTAAAGCAATTTACTATGAGTAATAAATTTATGAATTTAGTCCTTAAAAAAAAAACAGTATTCTACGTAAATATTAAATTAAAATATTTGATCAAATTTTAGAATTAATAATCTATTACACCAATATTACGTATTAATTTATTTTATTTAGTGTTAATATAATATTAAATTCGCTTGTCTCTAAAATTTAAAATCAAATACTGAATATTAAAAATCAGTATTATAAGTTATTTGAATGCATTTTTATCCATGATTTATAATCTTACTAATCATTTAATTTCTGTTAAAATAATTTTTTTAGATCAAACAGGGCCAAGTGTAACAGAACTCTTAGTTGCTGAAGGCCTTGTAACTGTTAAACGTGATACACGTGTTCCTACTCCAGAACTTACAAAATTACAAGAATTAGAAGCAGCTACAAAAGCTGCTGGCAAAGGAATGTGGTCTAAAGCTACTCCGTTATCTCAACATATTCGCGATGTTAAGTACACTGTGGAGAATCCAATGAGCCTTGTTGACAAATATGGTGGTAAACCTATCAAAGCCCTAATCGAGCATGTGAGGGATGGATCCACAGTTAAGGCCTTGCTTTTAGCAGACTTCTATCATATTACTTTGACCATTTCCGGTATTCGTTGCCCAGGGTTCAAACAAGATGGTCCAGAATCCTTTGCCGATCAGGCAAGATACTTTGTTGAATCACGTCTCCTACAAAGAGACATTGAGGTCATTCTAGAATCTGCTAATAACACCCAGTTTATTGGAAGTATTCTTCATCCTAAAGGTTAATAATATAATTTTGTTTGTCATTGATAAGTAATTTATTTTTACATAATTTTATTAAGAAAATTATATCAAGAACAATATACACTGTTTTAATTTAATTTCTAATTCTAATTTTGCAAAAAAGCAATCAAAATATCAATTTTTGTTAATCTAAAAATAGTTTAATAGAAAATAATTCTAGAATATTAATTTATAAATGATACATTAAAATCATTTTTTTATGATACATTACATTATGATACATTAATTAATTTTAATGATACATTAAAACAAATAAATAATTATACACTATTTTGTACAAAAAACGACAATAAAAAATTTTTAATGTAGAAGTAAATACGGATAACTGTGCGCCATTGCCATATTCAAATATCTTTGTTTATTTTATTTATCAATATTCTATACGGTAAGTAACAAGCCATGCATTAAAATATATTTACGAATAAGTAATTTACTTGTATAATTAAAATATGACGCATCATGTTAAAAATTCAATAATGCCCATTCATGATACAAGCAACTATAATATTTAGCCAATATAAGTCCAATAAATAAATACATAGTTTACATTTTCTTGATTGTGTATTACGTAATACTATCAATATATAATTAATTTATTTTGTAAATTAAATATCAATATTTTAATTCAATTATGTAGACAGTATTAATTAAAATGATATTGATGTTAATAAAAATATTTACTGGTGTAGATCATGTAGAAAGATTAAAAAAATTAAGATTAAGAAAATTTTATATCCACTGATCAATATTCAATAAATAATAAAATTAATTATAATGGCTTGCTTTTTCAGGAAATATAGCAGAAGCTTTGTTAGCTGAAGGATTTGCTCGATGTATTGATTGGTCTATGAATCATATAAAGACTGATAAACACAAGTTATACCTCGCTGAAAAAGCAGCCAAGGATAAACGATTACATTTGTGGAAAGATTATGTGCCAGCGCGCCCGTCCGAAGAATTTACTGGTACCGTCAATGAGATTGTGAGTGCCGATGCCATCATTGTACGTATGGCCAATGGCGAAACGAAGAAAGTCTTTTTAAGCAGCATCCGACCTCCACCTCGTGAGAAGCGACCGCCTAATGAAGATGGTAAAGTTACCAGGGCAAAGGACTTTCGGCCACTCTATGACGTACCTTGGATGTTTGAGGCAAGGGAGTTTTTGCGTAAGAAACTCATTGGTAAGCAGGTAAAAGTTGTAGTAGATTATGTACAACCAGCAAGAGACAATTTTTCTAAGAAAACCTGCTGCACTGTGAGTATTGGAAAAATGTAAGTATTTATATAAGTATTAAATTTTTATTTATAATAGCGATTATTTAAAAATAAATAATTCCTATAGACAAGCTTGTAATTATTATCTTACTTATTAATTCAGAATAAACATTTTATCTTTTAATTCAATTTCGATCTACTAACATTATTTCTACAATAATAAGTAGTATTCTATACAAAAAGAACCATATAACTTTTTAGATTCGTTAATCAACATAAAGAAAAATAACAAAGATATTTGGCCTTTTTTATTAAGTAAAGAAAATGCTAAAAATAATGGAATACTCTTATATTAATTACACTTCTATATTCATTCTATACAACATTTTTAATTTAAAATTATTTAAAGATAAAAATCAATTTTATATTAATATAAAATTAAAGCTTATATCAATAATTTAAGTTGTTAACAGTGTTCAGATAGGTTATTGTAATTAATAAATAAGAAACTGCGACGGAATATATAATTTGCGTTTTCAATGATGAAATTGAGTTATTATGCGATTAATTTATTCGTATTTAATAAAAAAAAAAAAAAAAAAAACAAAACATTTTATATAAGCTTTATTATCTGATACTTTCTATACTTTGAAATATATTTAATAATAGATCATACTCAAGATTATATAAATACTAATTAATTTTTTTTTAATTTATTGTGCACTTTCTGAAATTATATTTAAAAAATAATTGAAATGCAAAAACGTAGAAAATAACAAAGCATTTTTACAAATTGTAATGTCCAATTTTTGTATTTTCTTTCGGCACTGCTTTCATATTACATTATTATAATTAAAGAATCCTCTTAGTAATTAATTGATTAATTTAATATTGACCGCTGTTCTATTTTATTTTTATTAAACAAAATTAAAGATTAGATTAAAAATTCCTTGATCTCTCAGTAACGTCGCTGAAGCAATGGTTTCAAAAGGCTTCGCTACCGTGGTTCGTTATCGTCAAAACGATGACCAACGTTCCTCCTATTACAACGACTTACTCGTCGCGGAAAGCAAGGCCGAAAAATCTCAGAATGGACTACATGCGAAGAAAGATGTGCCTCTTCAACGAATCCGCGATGTTTCGACGGATCCGGCCGCTGCTAAATCCCATCTACAATCTTTGAAGCGTGCTCGAGAAATTAAGGGTGTTGTAGAGTTTGTTACAAGTGGATCGCGTCTCAAGCTCTTCGTCCCGAAAGAGTATTGCCTAATCACATTCTTACTTGCTGGAGTCAAATGCCCACGTACTGCTCGAATGACTCCTGGTGTCGGGATAACGGAGGCCGAACCATATGCCGAAGAAGCATTAATGTTCACGCGAAAATTTTGCTTCCAGAAGGATGTTGATATACAAGTGGAAAACATGGAATCGAAGGGCAGTGGCTTTATAGGTTGGCTTTTTATTGATGGAGTAAATTTGTCGGTAGCTTTAGTAGAGGAAGGCTTGGCCGAGGTATCAAATTTTATTGAGCAAGGAGAACATCTTAAGACCCTCAAGGCTGCTGAAGAACGAGCCAAGACTAAGAAATTAAATGTAAGTCCAGAATTTTTCTTTACTCAAATAATGCGTGTATTGTATTTCTAAATTAGTTTCATTTTACTTGTTGCTCATGCATAAAATTAAATAACTACTGAAAATGACTATCCTGGTTCTTTTCTTTGATGCCCTTAAATATGATTGGCTTTTAAGTCTATATTAGATAAAATCGAATATAAAAGCAAAAATTTGTAATTGTCTTTTCAATGTATTTAATTAAATTTTAGTTTATTGTTTAATTCTAAATATTTATTAAATTGTTAAATTAACTATACATGTCACAAACATTAAATTTTATTCCAATAATTACATTTTATCTGTATACTGTGTTTAGAAGGTTAAACTAGTAAAAATAACTGTTACATAAAAAATCAACTATTTAATTATATTTCATAACACCAGATGAAGTAATTTTATATGCTTAGCAAAGTTAACTAATTAAATATATTTTATAATTTTATATTGAAGTATATGTATGGACGAGATAATTAAAGCATAAATAAGCATAAAAATCATTATTTTGCACTATTCTTTTAAACTTTGTTTTCACTGTCTATAAATAGTAACAACTTTAACAAAATATTCAAATCATTTGTAAATTCAATATTAAAAAATATTAAACATAAAAAATAATATCTAGTATTCAACTCAACTAGACAAGTTTATATTAATTTAATTAGACGCCCAATAAATATAATAAACTCCTAACATTAATTTTGAACTTTTTATATTTTCGGTTCGATATTGCGATGGTATATAATTTAAAAATTTATATAATAATGTTAGTTATAAAAATTCAAATATTAGAAATCTATTTGTTTCATAATATCTTATAATTACTTTAAAAAATATTGAATATATGTTTCAATTTCAATACCAAAATTTTATGTACAAGAGTATATATTAAAATATATATTTTTATGGATCAACATTAAAAACATAAAAATATCGTAACAATTAATAAGAAAGTAAAATATTACATGATAAAAATGTTAATTAAACTATATATTAAAAAATTAATTTCGAACAAAAGAAATCTAAATATTTTATATTATTTTTGATTATATAAAAATCAAGTTTCAGACTTTCCAATCCCTTTTTGAGCTTTATGAAATTGTTTATTTTTGTACTAAAAAGCACATCGGTAAATAAAAATTTGATGAGTGATTTTTCTTAATAATGTCATGAAAAATCTAAATGGTGCTGCATTCAAACAACACAATATATGCGTATATATGTAGTTGCAAAAAATGAATGTTTGTATCTGTCTATCTATATAAAATATTATCAAAATTTTTTAGCTTAAAATGGAAATTATATTAACATATTAACAATGTTTGAATATATTATTGTTTCTCTTAAGCGTTTACATTAGTTATCTATGAATTTACTATATAATTCATCATTCTTCGATTCCAATGTTTTGAAACAACAATAATTAATTTGTTTTAATTGAACTTAGTGTTAATTTTTGTATGAATTATCATTCTTACAAAGCCTTATGTTCCAATATAAATTTCATAGCATTTCATTCCCCCTCTCTTTAAGACTTATTATTTTTAAGAATAAATTATTTTTAATATATATTTGTTATTTTATCTATTAAATGCTTTAGTTTGAAATTATTCAATTTATTCGAACTCCTTTTCTCAGAACTCCTTAAGTCAGATTTATTGTATGCATCTGTTTTACAGATCTGGAAAGATCGTGTTGAGATCGAAGTTGAGCCAGAGAAAGAGCGGGAGGAGGAACGCACGCCTGTTGAACGGAAAATCGACTACCAAGAAGTCGTGGTATCAGAAGTAACTGATGATTTGCACGTCTACACGCAGAGGGTCGATCAAAAGACAGCTCTTGAGGGTCTATTATCTTGCTTGCGTCAAGCAATCGCAGCCAATCCCCCATTGGCCGGTGCTTACACCCCAAAAAGGGGTGACCTTGCCATTTGCAAATTCACTGAAGATAACGAATGGTATCGTGTTAAGGTCGAAAAAATCTCCGGACCAAATATCTCAGTCTTTTATATCGATTATGGAAATCGAGAAGTTATTAATGTGACGAGGCTTGCAGCAATGCCAGTTGGTTTTGCTGCGGATAAACCTTATGCAACAGAGAATATGCTAGCAATTGTTGCTGTACCTAAAGATGTAAATCTTCCAGTTTTTTTTTTTTTTTTTTGTATCTAATGCTTACATTTCTGTCATAAACAAAATTATAAAATTATAAAAATGCATATTAGCCATAGTACTAAAATATATATAACGAAAATAACTATTTTATATATATGTTTTTAAATATTATTTAACGGGTTGATATTAAAAATAAAGAAACTTAAGATAGGTAAAAAAAAATGGTACTAAATTTTCATTGAAGTTTAAAAAAAAATTAATTTATATGATTTATATAATGAAAAAATTATTTTTATATGATTTTCTATACATTAAATAAATTTATTTACATATTATTTGTATAGGTAAAATTAAATTGATTTTCATGTTTTGAATTAATTAGTAAATTAAAATCATTGTTCAAACTTATTATTTTACAAAATGTTGAAATTTAACGAAAAGTTTTATGTACTAATTTTTAAATTAATGTTTCTTAAATTTTGTACTATAATTCAATTAAAAATATAGATTAAATAACTATTTTATCTTTTTTAATAATAACGAAGCTAAAATTATTAATAAATTATAATTGTTTTATATTAATCAGGAAGATGATAAACAAGCTGCTGTTCAAGCTTTTATTGATGATACTGTAACTGGAAAACCTTTGCTATTAAATGTTGAATACAAAATTTCTGGAATTCCAGTCATAACATTAGTCGATCCTACTAGTAAAGAAGATATTGTAAAAGGTCTTGTCGCTGATGGATACTTAATCTGTACTCGCTATAAAGAAAGAAAATTGAAAGACTTGGTATGTAATTATTTTATAAATTTCGTACATGTAATATACATGTATTTTTTTATTACTTATATTTTTTATAACATTTTCATTAATTAATTATATATTTATATCCAATCATATTTTTATAGCATTCATAAATAAATAGCATATTAAAGTCTGAATAATTAAAAAAAAAATTGAATTTACGAGTATTTTACATATTATCAAAAGAAATCTATTATACAATTCATTGTATTACTATTATTAATATATTTTATGTACACTTTTTTAATTTAGAATAAATTATTTTTTTATATTAATACATTTATAATCAAAGACTTTGTTAAAGCATAATCACTTTATAAGTAAAGATTATCAATAATTATTAATATTTGAAAATATAAATTATAATTAATGCAATGATAATTTGATGTTTTTGCTCTAGCGTGAAGAATACAGAAAAGCTGAAAAAGAAGCAAGAGATAAACATCGTAATATTTGGCAGTATGGCGATATTACTGAAGATGATGCTAAAGAATTTGGTATTGGTCGCTAAATTGTTCAATAATAAAAAATCTAACAAAACTTGGGCAAAAAGATGGTAGATATGGTGGGGCAAACAATAAGATATTCTATGATATACGCAGCATAATAAATACGTATTTCAATGATGAATTATGTCAGACCTTTTGAAATTATGGATGCAAATGCGATGAGAACTTATATAAGCGAATAGATCAGTGAAGAAATATGAATTGTACATAATAATTGAAAGAAGTTAAGAAAACCGAATGAATTAATAGTTACAGGGGTTAAGATAGCATGCGGTTTTACTATCTGTCCTTTACAAAGCTCTTGTACCTTCCTACCCCCATGAGACTGTCTCACTGTAAAATGTATTTCTGTATATGCGATCAATCATTGTTATTGTACACGCACTATTGCGTTTATTCTTTATTAAAGGGACACTTCATACAGGTAGAAAATTACGAAAACCATTTATTTGTATAATATGAAATATAATATTTTGAAACTTTTAATGAATAATGTGCAACTTCAATTAATATTTCACTGCGAGAATATTTCGCCAAATTTTATTGAACTCAATAATATATATATTTACATTTTTCCAATTTTCATTTAATAAGTAAGGATGTAATAATATAGCTGGAACAACTGTATTAAGGTAATGAACAAACAAAATTTAATTGTACAATTAAAATGTTTTTAATACAATATTACCTTTCTACTAATTTTTCTTATAACAAACAAATTTAAATTTAAAATCGTTTTTATAATGAACATAAAATTTATTAATAAAAAGTTCTATATTATAATTATGTTTTTTAAATATTTAAAATTTTATTTTAATAATGAGAAATGAAATTTAACCTGATATTAAATATCATCTTCAATAATGCAACACCAAATATTGAATAAATTTTTGAAGACCACAATAATTTTAGTTTTGATTATTTGAAAATATATAATGTAATTATTTATTATTAAATATAAGTATAATGTTTGCGTATAATTACAATTAAAAAAAAGAATTTTTTTGTAATATTTTTTTTAAATCGTGGAAATTTTATATGATAAATTAGCTAAATTAATAATGGTTGCTATTTGTAATCGTAAATTCACTAATATTCTGTGTAAAAATGGTATGATATAGATAAGTGTAATAGAAAAAAAAACAAAAATTTCAATTATTGAAGGAAATAGTAAAGTTATTGAAAAATATTTTAGATAAATTCATTGAATTTCATAATACAAAAACATAAATCAACCATAAAAAAATGAGTAAATAAATATATTACATTGAATGTTAAATTAAAATTACAATAGTAATTAGTGAACATTTGTAGGAGTCGATTTGTGTAACATTCTAAAAGTACTTACAATCAGAGCCTTAAATCGAACCTTTTCAAGTTTTTATATTAATTACTTGTGAAATTTATTGAAAATATTTTCCAATACATACACAAGTTTAAATGTCAGTTTTTACACGTTTATAACAAACATACTTTGTGGCAAAGTGATAAATAATTTTAAAAAATCATATTTTTTTCAAATAAAAGAGATAAAGTTAATTTGTGTGCAATAATAAAACACACTATTAAATTTATATATTATGAACAATTGTCATATTTAGAAATTAATCTACTAGGGACCCAAATATAAATTATTTGTTACGAATTATTGTCACATTTTGCGTTGCACTTTTCTGAAATCATTGTAATCAACTATATTATAGTTAGAAGAGTAGTATAGTTATTTCTTTTATACATTTTTCTTTTTAAAGCCATGTAACACCTTATTTAAACGTAAATTATTTACTATTTATTGTAGCATATTTCTAAAATAGAAAATGCTTTGGATTGTTTTATTCGTGAATATATAAACAATTTATCTTGTTATTAAATACTTTATATAATAGAATAAGAGTATATAATTTAACAATATGATTTATATATATTCTATATATATTTCATTAAATAAAATACTTTAATATGTTGGTAAAAAAATTTTATCAAATTTCTTATGACATGATACATATTTTTGAGAGCTTAATTTTTTTTATATCGTGTTTTTAATAACAATGAAAATCTATTGATTTTTTATTATTTTGAATTTTTCTCTTATTTAAATTTATAAAATATTAATACATATTAAAATTATTTTTAAATAATGCTATAAATGTTATTATAAATTAAGGATATATATTAAATAATATTGTCAATAATTAAAAATATTAATATGAAAATAAATTATAAAAATTTATTTCTCCACGCGAAACATTTAAAAATTAATCATTAGTGATTCTCGTTAATCTTCTACATTAAGTGAAATACTTTTTTGCACTTATATGCAAAGCATAGATATATTTTATTTGTAAAATTTAATTGTGTCAAGTTTAAATAAAACACTGATACACTAAAAATAAACCTGGGTTGTAGAGGTCCACCATTAGTATATGGGTGTTACGTAATAATCGATAAAATATAAGAAAATTGTTAAATAAACATTTTGCAGTCCAAATAGCCAACTAGATTTTCAAATTTATTAAAGAAAACCCTTACTATCTTCTAATTTATATATTTTATCAAATTTCAAAAATTTTATGATTTTGAAGTGTCAAGTAATGATAATGCAGTAATTCGAGAGATAATTGGCCAAACGAGCGGATCAGCCAGTGAACTCGTATGAATATATACGAATATATGATTTTACTTTTTTTAAAAAAATCCATTACTCATCATGAATGTCCAAATTATTATGGTGCACATTTATATACAATAATATACAAAGTAATAAAAAGTAGAGCTTATATTTCAAAAGAGATAATACATATATAATTAGAAGAAAAATTTATATTTCAAATAGAATCTTTTGTAAATAATACAATACATTTATATAAATATATTAATCATTATAAATTATATTAATTATTATTATCAAAAATTCAAACAGATTTTATCTCGAATTATAATCAATTTTATGCTTAAATTCTGTGTATTTCAAAACGAATTGAAGCATATCAATCTATATAAATATATTCAAGTTTAAATTTTTAGTATGCTTGATTTTATGATTCTTTCAACTAATATTTATATCCATTTTTGTCAAGTTTTTTAAAAATATTACAAGGTTTAACTTAATTCAATTATGCTTACACATACTATCTTCATTGAGCTGAAATTTGAATTCAACGCTTCTAGTGATATCTGGAGGAACTTAAAATTCGCTTATTGGAAAAGTTTCTAGCAGTACTCTATAAAGTAATTGTTTATCATTTGTGTTATGAATTAATTTATCTATTCAAGTTTATTTCTGAAATATATTTCTGCAAAATGGAACAACTACAAATATCTTTATCAGCCCTTAAAGTATTACGATCAAGTGTAGGTCAAGTATTTTATTCTCTTGCAAATGGTATAAGAGCAGAGCATGGAGAAGACAATAAAGAAAATAAATATTTATTGGAACTTCAAGAACTTCTAACTACTGTTGGCACAAATTTAAGGTATTTATAGCATAAATTTTATTAAAAGAACATAAAAATTTTTATTATACTTATACAATAATATAAAAATATATTTTCTAAATAAATAACCTAAGAATTAAATAAAAGTATACTTTACTTTGAATATTCAAACTTGGCTAATCGATGTTTTCATTACTATATTTTTAATTTATCCTATAGAGATGTTGAACAAGCTGTAAACTCATTAAATCCACCACCTGGTCCATTTAATTTAGGAAATACGGCTTATCTTGGTCAAGAAACTACCCAAGATCGTCAAGCATTATATGGTACATTGGTAAATGTTTATAAATGGACGGATAAAGCACATGAATATAGTAATGCAGCACATCAAATTTTAAGCCAAAATTCATTAAAACGTTCGTCTATGAACTCAAATCGTGCTAAAAGAAATAGAATACAAACAGGAGCACATAATTTTTCTCCACCGTAAGTTATTTACTTGAATATATTAAATGTGTTTTTGTATGTGTGTGTGTGTGTGCGCGCGCGCGCGTGTGTGTATGTGTATGCATATATGTGTGTATATTCTATAAATTTCTACATAATTAATAAATATTTTTATAGACAAGTTGATCAAGTAATGGCATCTTTCGATCGATTGTATAGTGATATGTCTATTTCAATTACAAGACCATTTACATCAAATGCAGTCATACATGTAACATTAGGACACGTTTTAAAGGCAATAATAGCTTTTAAAGGCCTTATGATGGAAAGAGTTGTTGTTAAGAGCTATAACGAACAGCTTGATCTGTGGTCAGAATCACGATACAAAGTTTTTCAAAGAGTAACCGATCACGCTCATGCTACTATGTTACATTTTTATAATCCTAATTTTCCAGAATTGACACTGAAATCTTTTTTTGTAAGTTGTATTATAATTCTTTTACATTTATATAATCATTTTATAAACATTCTATCATTGATTTGTAATATTGTATAAGAAATACAATATTATATATAATTGTATTATAACGTTAAAAATGTTAAATACATGTATTATGTATTTTATTGAAAGGTTTGGAAATTTTATGATACCATAATATTTTGAATTTGCTTTGAACAATAAAGAGAGATATATATAGAGTTGATTGCAATGGAAATGTTATTCTAGTTTTTCAGTTGTTACATTCTTGTTTTCAATTCATCATTACATTCATGTTTTCAATTGTTACATTATTATTATTGAGTTTAGTCTATATTTATACTTTATTCAAATACAGTCTTTCAATGCTTGTGTACAATTGAAAATATGTAATAATTTATAAATATACAATGATTTTCTAATAATTTTCAATGTATATATGAACACGAACGACGAAATATCGATTAAAATCCAATATTTCCTAGAATTTTATGCACAATATACATAACAATATATAATTTATACCATAATTCGTTAGAATAATTTTTTAATTTATGTAATATTCATTTTTGAAAGGTAGGTTATTTTCTTTTACTACTGATTACTGCACATTTGTGGTATAATTATTTTGTTGTTGTTTTACATTATATATATTTTTAGTATATTTATTGAATAAAATTCAAATTACAAATCCTTTTCTATTTTATATGAATATATGTTTCTTAGAAGCAAAATCAAGTGCAGTTTATAATTTTATTTTTAAAAATTTAAGTCAGTGTATATCCATTATCCTTTTACGCTATTACATTCTTTGTCAAATATACTCTGTATTATGCGTTCTTACAATTTTTTCTAATTTGTTAAACATTTTCAGAGTGTTTAAATTCAGTGTTCCATAACTTATTTATTTTCAGTAATGTTATTAATGCCAGAAACGGACAAATAACTAAATTTGTTTTATTTTTTAATTTACATTAAAGTAATATTTCAAAATTAAAATTATGTAAAGAAATTTGATACCAATAATATTATTTTTATGTATTTTTACGTAATACAATAACATTATCAAATATAATATATAATTATTTGATTTTATTTCTTCAGGCTTGGTTCCACAGTTTCATCAGCTTGTTTAGTGATTCCTGTAAACGATGTGGACTTTACTTACACAGTGCCTTACCCCCAACATGGCGAGATCCAAAATCACTAGATCCATATCATTTTGAATGCAAACCATAAAACAAGAAATAGTTTCTTATTAATATTAATTATTATCAAATTTATTTACAATAAATTATTTATTGTAAATAAATATGTAATTATGTAATTTCATAACGATAAGTCTATTTCAAACTTTCTATACTTTATTAAAAAGCAAAGTTCCACAATTTTCATTTTTAACTATAAAAAATTATTTTAAATTATATATATGTAAATTAAATTAATGTTAAATCAAGTTTAAATATAAATGTATATTAGATAATGTTTCTAAATTATAATTCAATTACATTTTAAAATTAGTTTTAATATAAATCCTGCAATTTTATGTATGTTACTGTGTTCATTTTTCAATTTAATCATTTTAAATACGATAAATTTAATTTTCAAACATTTTCATTATATTTCGTTTTTTTTTATAATAGTGTAATTATTTAATTTATCCAAAATTTATATGCAGAATAAATAAGTATTGCAAAAAGCTGTAGGCACATCGATTTGATTTATATATAAAAAAGTTATTATTGAAAAATATTAAACATTCATCTTTGTGTATACAAAAATTAAATTAAACAATTAATATCAAAATGAATATAGAATTTATGTAATATTAGTAATATACACAGTTCATTTTTTATCCCCAGTTTTAATGACATCAATGTTATTTTTGAAATTAATATATCGTAACAAAACAACATTTACGCATAAGTATTTCTACATTGATTTATAATTATTTCGTAAGAGAATTTATTACTAATATTAAAAAATGTAAATTATTTAAAAGAAAAGTTAATTTTTTATGAAATGCAATAATAATAATAATAATTTTCAGTTGCATACATTTATAGTGTTCTAATTAAAATTGGAAATTGCAATATTTTTGTAATATAATATTCCAAAAAATATATTTCTTTTTTAATAATCTTTCACATTTGTATATAACATTAATAAAAGCAGCATAAAACTATGTATAGTTAACTATGTATGTTTATTTATTTTTATAATTAATAAATACTGAATAAAACGACAAAAAATTAATATAAATTTTCTTTCATTTCTACATAGGAATGCACAGTTTTCATTAATAATAAGATACATGTTATATAATTTTATATTTTGAGTATTTTTGTAATAATTGCAAATTAAATACTTTTTAGAATTTATTTTTTATCTAAATTTTGTTTATTAAATTACTTGTATACTATTATTAGCTTAGGTAAATAAAACTATAGATAAATTTAATACATTTTTTATTTTTCATATTAATACTTAATATTATTTAATACTTAATCGCATGCTAGACCATACTCTTTTGCGGTATAACTTATTTTACATAAGTGTTTATATAGATTAAGAGACAAGTGTATTAAGTAAAAAATTAGATTATAATTGAGAATATTATTATTATGACTTTTAATCATTTGACTAGATTACGGTACATGAGACGAAAATATCGCGTTGCATTTTAAAAAATGCAATAATTTACAAACTTAATAGAAATAGTGCACTAAAAATCTTTGTAATCTTATTTATATGAATTTATTATTATATGCACTGTACATAATTGATTCTATGAAGTTTCTTATTTGAACATCTGTTTAAAAGTATTTTTTTTATAATATTTCTTACACCTTCACAATATATAGATTAAATTATTAGTTTTTTTAATTTATCATATTTCAGCATAATCATTTGTGTTGTGTATGTGCATATCTGCGCCCGTACTTTAATCTAAATTTTATACGTAAAAATGAAAAAGTTTTTGTTACAGTAAAAACATGCGACATTTCTTCATACTATAATATATAATTAATTTTTATTTTTTTTAGATTGCTTGTTATCTTATAATTAAAAATCATCACTAATATGTTATGTTTATTGTGTTTATTCCTTTCATATCCAAATGATCTTTTCCCATAAAGACATAAAATAGAACGATACTTATAATATTACTTAAATGACAAATATAAAGAATATTTTTTCTTTTTTGTATTTAGATTTTTATTTTATCACTGCCTTTCATATAATAAACTTTAGAATCATTCCCAATAAACATGTTTATGTATTTTGAGAATTATAATAGTTTTTTACCATCATACGCAAAATTATTTTGTTATAACTCAGATACATACATATAATTATATTATTTTATATTACATACATAATCATAAAGTCATTGCTATTATTTTACCATTTTTCCCAGGGTCTACTACTTTGTTTCTGTGAGAAATATCTATTGTTAAATTGATGCAGTATCTAACGGCTATCATTTTTAATTTAAATTAATGTTGTTTTATTTTATGAATTCGATTTTTTCTAATCGTCATTGATTCGTTTTAACCCCCCCCCTCCCCCACACAATGTTATACGATAAATATTTCGCATAATTATGTAGTTTTCACATTCATCATATGTTTCTAAATTTTTCATTAATGTTTTACTATCTTTGCATTTAACACGAGATTCCTTAAGTCAAAGGAACTTTTAATAAGTTAGTTTAATGGCAGTGAACTTTTAACGAATTATTATTGTTCTTACGTGTATATCAAACATATAATACCGACATTATTATGATTTCGAAAAAGGTATTTCGGCTATAAAAAAGCAGTTCGTTTTGACACTGTTCAAAACTAATTTCTTTAATTACTTAAAATTTTTTATATATGTTACTTACGATATTAATTATGCGTTTTTGAAAAAATTATAATTTTTGAAAATCTAATATTATTTTACTTAAAAAAAATGTTTTTATAAATTTTTTTGCAATTCTAATGTTTAATAAATATTTTCTAAATTATTAAATAATAATACTGTTATAAAAATATATATTATTTTAATCAAACTATAAACGATATAATAATGAAATATTATAATTATAAGTAAGCAGAATAACAATAATTATGTATAAAAATAAACAAAAATAATTCGTTGTTACCACTATTATATATTGAATGTTAAATTTGAATTTACGAATTTTGAAATATATAATAATTTAGAGTCGATATAAAAATACTAAATAATAAATGCCTAATTATATTTTTATGATATTTATTTATCTTCATATGCCTTATTAATACATATTTATTTAGATAAATTCAATGATTTAACCTGATAATAAGAGAAAGAATTATTTAAAATTGTAATGCAATTTGTAAATTAATAATGTAAAATTACGTAACAATAATGTAATATTACAATTCTTGTTTCGTATTGCATGTAATATTCAATGTGAAATATTCATTTGACATGAAATATTCTTAAATTAATTTGAATTGTGCTTTTTTAATCCGAACATGATCAAGTTGAAGAAAAAATAATAATAATTGTATTTATATTTTGTTATTAATTGAATTGCATTAGATAACATAAACAATATATATTTTGCACAGTAAAAATAAGACAAATACGTTGGAGTGAATTGTTTAGAACATATAAAAATTTAACATTTTATTCAGTACTTCGTTATGTAGTGTCATTCTATTAATTTATTAATTACTATAAGCATTTATTTGTTTAATTTATGCTTTTATGGGATACGGAAATAGTTTTAAATTTTTTAAAAATCCAAATATATAACGTGTTTATTATTTTATTCTTTGAGGTTTATTTGAACGCAGCTTAGAATTAATTTTAAAAGGAATATTCTTTATTGTTTTTTTTATTTGGTTTGACTTATGCATATATATAATTAATATACAACCATTGCGTAAACGAGAAATGAGTATTCATAAAAGTGTTTTCTTCAATTCATCTTATTATTTGATTTAAACTTTCATTTCATTTCATGTATCTTTTATTTTTTTGCTTTTCATGTGCATTTCATACATTTTTGTGCTGTCAAAAATTACTATTTCTCTTGTTACTAGTACCCTAGGTCACTATACTGTCACTAATCTAGGTATTTTAACTTAATAAATAGGATGGCAAAGTTTGATAAATATAACAATTAAGATGTACAGAAGTCATTTTAAATTCTACTTCATTTTTTTCAATTTGCTTAATTTGAAAGCAATATCATGATACTATTACCTTTCCGAGGATGATTTTTATTTTAACTTTATCATTTTTACACCAAATTTTATTATATAACTAGTTTATTCAATTATATATTTTTTTAAAATATAAAGTTTGTTAAAAGGGCAGATTAGTTTATAATAAACTTCAGTATAATATTTTATTTAGGAATAAAAATTAATTATAAGGAAATTAAATAAATTAAATGAATTTATTGTAGAAGATCTCTATATTTCGATGCAAAGTTTGACTGAGTTTTGATTAGGCCTATTTATTCTAATAATTTATAAATTTAATTAGCTTTATCATATTTGAAGTCAACTATTTAAATAATTTATTCTAAAATTAAATATTTGAATTACTAGAGTATTTGTATCTACTTTTCATACGTATAAATTTACATGAAAGATTTTTCTACTAGAATATAAATGTTATTGATAATAATCATGTGGATTATTGTATCTAAAATGAATGATTATATTATGTTTTTTCAAATTTTAATTTATGCCATAAATTAATTTACAGTATTTTAATATCCTATAGTTTTATACAACATTTAAGTATATGGTAACCCTGAATATTCTGATTGTACCAGAATTCTAGAAAAAAGAGGATATCACTCATTATAAATAATATCTTAAATTAAAAAATAATTGTTAAGAGTATTTAAATTCAAACATATATTTTTTTAACCTGGAACATGTTTACAAAAGTTAAAGTATTGAGAGAAGTTAGTCTAGAAATAATGAATAAAATATTCGTAAACATGAATCATTAGATAATTGCGTATATAAAAATTTTAATTCTGCCGGAAATTTATATACTGGTCTATATACTGGTAAGAAGTTTTATAAAATTTTAAGTTTATGCGAATAAAAACGTAATTGTGCATTGTGCAAAACATTTTTGTGTATATTAATTTTTTTATTATATAAATGTTTATTGTAAATTTATATTTGCATTATATATATATATATATATATATATATATATTGTATTTTTGAAAGAGGTTTATAATAGTTCG